TCGCATTTGCTCAGATCTCCTTTCTTTGGAATCTTGACGAGGTGTCCTTCTTTCCAGTCCATCGGCACTTGTTCTTCCTCCCAAATCTTTTGAATAGAAGATAAAGCATGCTTGTGGTTGCTTCGATGTCTGATTTCAGTGCTTCAGCTGGTATGTTGTCGGGTCCCGCTGCTTTCCCGTTCTTAATTTGTCTGACGGCCATTCTAATTTCTTCCGTAGTTGGTGGGTTGACATGTATAGGAAGATCTATGTGTGCTGCTTCGATGTCCGGTGGATTCGTTGAAGCCGGCCTATTCAGGAGTTCCTCGAAGTATTCTACCCATCTGTTACGCTGTTGTTGAATTTCGGTGATTGGCTTGCCTTCTTTGTCCTTGACCGGTCTCTCTGGTTTACTGTATTTCCCTAATAGTTTCTTCGTTGTATCGTAAAGATGTTTCATATTTCCTTCTCTAGCAGCTTTTTCTGCCGTCGTTGCTAGTTCTTCCACGTATTTCTTCTTGTCGGCTCTAATGCTCCTCTTCACTTGTTTGTTTGCTTCTATGTATTCTGCTTGCGCTTGGACTTTTCCTGCTCGTGTTCGGCTGTTGTTTATTGCTGCCTTCTTGTTCTTCCTTTCTTTGATCTTGTCCAGTGTTTCTGTAGAGATCCATTCCTTATGATGGTATTTCTTTAGACCGAGAACCTCTTGACACGTTGAAGTTAATGCTTCCTTGATGCCTTTCCAGTTGTCCTCCATAGTAGTTTCTTCTTCTTTCAGTAGATCTTGTAAGGCTTGGAACCTGTTGTTGAGAGCTATCTTGAATTCATTGAGTTTGTCAGTATCTCGAATGAAGGCTGTATTGAACCTTTGTAGTGCTGTTTGTCCACTTGTCCAGTTCTTTTTTAGCTTCAGTTTCAAATTGGCTACAACTAGGTGGTGATCTGAAGCTACGTCAGCACCTCTCCTGGTTCTCACATCTTCCATTGTCCTTCGGAATTTTTTTCGATGCAAATATGATCTATTTGGTTCTCTGTAGTGTGGTCCGGTGAGATCCATGTAGCCTTGTGTATACGCTTGTGTGGAAATATTGTGCCTCCTATGACCAATTTGTTGAATGCACATAGATTTGCAAATCTTTCTCCATTTTCGTTTCTTTCTCCCAGTCCATGTCGTCCAATAATATCTTCATATCCAGTGTTGTCTATTCCAACTTTGGCATTTAGATCTCCCATCAGAATAGTTAGGTCCTTCCTTGGGCATTTCTCAATGATTGACTGTAGCCGCTCGTAGAACTGATCTTTAGTGTCGTCGTCGCTATCATTGGTGGGTGCATAACATTGGATAATATTCATTGTGATCCCCTCCTTCTTTGTTTTGAATGATGCTTTGATGATTCTGGATCCGGGAGATTCCCATCCTACAAGTGCATTTCGCGCCACTTTGGACAGCATAAGAGCGACTCCCTGAGTGTGTGGAGCATTGTCCTCTTCGTGACCGGAGTATAGCAGCATCTCTCCCGTAGCTAGCCTTTTCTCTCCAGCTTGGGTCCAGTGGGTTTCGCTGATTCCCAGTACTGCTAAGTTGTATCTCCTCATTTCCATTGTTATTTGACTGGTCTTCCCGGTTTCCCACATTGTTCGAACGTTCCATGTACCTATAAAAATTTTTGCTCTGGTTGTTAGAAGGGGCATCGGCCTCGTGGCTTCCGAAGGAACTCGGCTTTCACCATGAAGCGTCATAATTCTTCTAAATGAAGACCTTCTAACTCCCAGGGCAGAGTTAAAATGGTTTGGATTATTTTTTCTGGTAAGCGTTTTTTTAGCGAGTTAGTTTTCTACGGGATGGGGACGCTAACCCCATGCCCAACCCTCCTCCTTTACCCGGGCTTGGGACCGGCAGTAACCCTATAAGAGCTACAGGCGGAGTTGCACAACCGTACGAATCTGGCCATCGGCACCTCACCGGTGCGAAGATCCGCCGGCTAGTGCTAACGGCTTTTGATTCGGTGCGGTTGCGTGATGATACTGCCATTGATATTTCGACTAATTTAGTTACTGGTCACATCTATCAATGTTCCTTATTCAACCTAAACATTACCAACGTAATTTATTATCATTTCAAATTATTTGATGAATTCATTTAATGGACGAAAATTTAAATTAATAATTTATGTTAGCGAATTACCAACAGTCTCAGTTTAATAATCAATTAGGCTTTAAACGAATTATAATTATAGAGTTCAATCGGGTCTGTTGTGAGCTAGTAACTTATGAAGACGATGGTAGATGTGTCACTCAATTTCGTGGATTAGTTGAATTTAGACATTAACACTGTTAGATGCCAGCTCAGTTGGTTAGAATTTAAGTGTTTGCGCAAGAGACCTAGGTTCGAATCTCGCAAGGTGGGATCGTGGATGAGCATTGCTGAGGAGCCTCACAATAGGATGAAACGGCCGTCCAGTGCTTTCAGGCTTACCATGATGGTTTAGCTTCAATTAAATAATGATCTCAACTATTGAGATTATTTTTATGTTAAATTTCTGGTAATATTTGTGTGTTATGATGGTACATATAATTAACTGCTCTTGTTAGCCACTAACTTTGTGTTTTTTGGTACCTTTTTGTTTAAATTGCTTGGTCATTAATTCATTTTTCGTGAGTAGTTGTTACTTACACACATTCACATTATTTTAGCCGTGCTATATTTCTTCATTATGATATAAAACCTAACTAGAACCATAAGATTATTTCAAAAGTGATTGTAAGTTTTGGATTCATTTATAGTTTGTTTGTTTATTTGGTCGTTTTATTATTGAAAAAGATTAGGTTTGAATGTTTGGATACCGTTCATATGATGTGTCGGGTTCTATAATACATACTAGAGTTATTTTGTAATGAATTTATTTCTGTACTGACCATATGATCTCTACTGTCTACATTTAATAAAGTTTCTTATTCTTTCGGAGCTTTGATTTTTATACATCGGTGTCAAGTTGTCTTAAATTTTTTTTTAAATTTATTCATTTATTAGTGTCTACTGTGGTATGTTTCAATGGATTGGCAAGCGAAATAATTATGCTAATCAATGCGTTACTCTTGACTGATTCAATAACTGAAATTCTATAATTTCAAAAATTGAAGGTACAACACATATGCTTAAATTAGTAGTAAGTTCGCTTGTTTATCGATTATTTGGTTAAAAGGATACTTACAGATAATCATATGTAACAATAATAATAACAAAGGGAATAAATATTGTTCTGGAAAATTGCAAAATATGAACTTTGATTTACAAGTAAAACAAATGACTTGATTTTTGCATGTGATTTTAAAATAGATTTCGTCGCTACAATCGCGTGCAGAGATTGATTATGTCGGTAGATATACCATATGTCACTGATAAGCCTATATTTATATATATAATTTAGATCATAATCATATTAAAAGTTATATATAATATTGCGTAATACCTAAAAATGTCATTGATTAAGTAAGAGATAATCCGTTTAGTTGAAACAGAAACAAGTAATTTAGTTCCTCAACTTACCATATTAAAGGACATAAGTCTAAAGATATTGGGCTCCGAATCCTCTGTATCCCAAAATTAATAGTTATTAAATTTCTAAAAAGACCGGGACATATTATCTATTAGACGAATGTTGAACCTCTACTACTGTCGTCAGTATTAATTTTATTATGACTCACCTTACCTATTGTGTATGATCACTTTTGTTAATGTATTTTTACAATTCGAACTTCTTCAATACAACTGGATTCTTAACACGCGCAAGCAAATAATTTACGCAACACTCACTACATTTCTGCTTATATTTCGCTTAATCTATATCATTATGTAATCAAACATAACAACATTTTCAGCAGTTATACACCATATCAGTTCCAGACGTTCATTATGCAATTCAGTGGTTTGTAACCTGATCCATTTATAAATTACATATAAACCAATTCAATGAATTTCAATAAATGTTAGCCAGTTCATTTTACTAATAAATAAAAGTTCATATTCGGATTGATTCTTTCGATTGATAAATTAAGACTTTTAACTGTAGAACGTAGTAAGAATTTATTGAAAAGAATTTTTTCCTCCTTTAATCACATATGTGATTCAATATTATAAAAAAGTTTCATACAATAAATGTGATTAAGACGCGAAGTATGCAAAGAGTATTCAGCTTGGAGATGTTCTACGTAACGATCTGATTTTGGCTAAACAGCTATTAAAAACAGAAAAGTATTGACCAAAAATCAAACTAATGGGAGATACAAGCACAACAAAGAAGTAAACAATGAGAGGTTTAAGGTCAACAAGAACCAATCATCAGCGAGGTGTACAGGACAAGCTGTGAACCTCATGTACAGAAATTCAAACACTTTACTCCTGCCTGAAGTTTGTGCTGATGATGTTGTTCAGAAGAACGATGAAAGCTCGACAACCAAGCCATCAAACTCAAAGAACAAAACTGCATCAAAAAGCAATGAATCAGTGTTTTGTTCTAGTCTGAATTTTATCAGCAGTGTCGAACTATGACATTATTAGTGATAGGAACCTTGATACTTAACTTGAAATTTAAAAAAGTCTCAACCTTTTTTTCTCACCAAAACTAACATTGATATGAAATAAAACGTAAGTTTTTTCTAAGTATATGTATCTATAATCTATTCATTAATACAGAAACACATTTTTGTTTGACAATTATTTAAATCAGAAAGGGTTTTATGAAGATTGTAGTAATTTTATTAGTTGAAATCAATAGTCAACTGAACCTAGACCACCATGAAAAACCTGGAAGCACTAGACGGTCGTTTATTAATTAAATAACCAGTTATGAAAATAACATTCCTAACTTGTTTCTAAATAACTTTTTTAATAAATTATCATTCACATTATTATTATTATTGTGAATATCCAAATAATAAGAAATATAATAAAAAGCCGGGAAGAAGACATTTAATTGATTACTACTAATATTTTCTAATGTAGTATGTTTTTCATGACTTACTCGAATTCTTCGCATTGAAGATACAATTTCAAGACGATTCTGTGGTCTTGGTATATCCATACCACCAACAAACTAATATCAAAGGAAAAAAAATCAAAAAAGATTATAAATCAAATGATACATAATGAATATATTTTGAAATGAAATGGTTAATAAGAAACTACATCAAGCATATAAAACCTACATAGATTATTTCATTAATGTATTGAAAGAATGTCAATACAATAACCATCGAAATAAACTATTTCCAAATGATCATGAGATAGAGTAATGTAACAATGGTAAGTAATAAAATAGTCTATGGTGTAAACTATTTTCAAACTGACCATTTTTTACAAACCTATTTTGGTAATATTCATGTACTGAATAGTGACTAATTTCGAGATAAAGTCCTCTGATTCCATTGAGTTGCTACGACAGGTTTAGTTAAACCAGGTTGGACACAAGAAAATTATCAACAATGTTAATGAATTGAGTTAAATCGAAAGTATAATGTAATTGAGTTCGACGGTATGATTACGAAGAGGCTTGATCGTTGATAACGTTATGTGTACACAATATTGATGATTCTAATATTTAAACAAAATAACTATTTATTACCCTTTGATTTGCAATTATTTTCTGACCAAATTCAATTCCTGGTGTAAACCATTTTTAAATTAAGATAATATATAAATCTAAATCGGAACACATTAATTAAATAAAACTATCTGATACTTTTTCTCGATTGAGATCATAAACTGATTGGTTTTAGACCACCGTTGGAAACCTGGAAGCACTGGACGTCTGTTTCGTCCTATCGTGGGACTCCTCAGCCATGCTCATCCACGATCCCGCTCACGGGACTCGAACGCAGGGTCTCCGATCTCGCGCGCGAACGCTTAACCTGCTGGACAACTGAGCCGGCAACTAATCCATGAAATTGCATGACCATCTTCCATTCTGCTGAGGTAGATACATGTCTCTATCCCACACGGATTAGCTCCACTGGTCACGGCTTCTCACTAAAACTCCGAGAATTCCCTCACGAGGCTAACCACTAGTGAGCACATGTTAATTATCAGTATAGGGGTTATGGAGATTATTCAAGCTATCAATTTTATATGGATTGATTTTGAAGGAATGTTAGGTTTTAATTAAAATTTGTCAGTTATTATACATTTGATGAAAATCTTAGGTTTTTCGTTTACTATCCTAAAAATAATTAAACAAATTTGCTTATCATCAAAGATGGATAGTGGCTGACAGTGGAATCCAATATGCGCGTTTCGTACTATTCAAACAAACAATTTTAAAAAAGTGAATTAAAATTTACTTATCGTTTCAACATAATGATTAAACAATTATAGAATTTGGTTCGATATGTAGACTTGTTGAGAAACTAAGGACCAGGTTTATTAAGTTATAAGAAACTTATTTGAACTCTTAAATAATCTTACTTAAATATTTGTTGTGATCTCATGGTATGTAATTTGTCCCTAATTCGTTATTTGTTCACACTTAACTCAGTGTCCAAATTAATAGAGAATAAAAAAGTACAACAGTTCTCTACACTTTGTCAAATATCCTGTGAAATTTCCTAGGATATTCAAAAATCCTGCATAAGTACATACTTATTCAGCTAATTGTGTATAGATTATTTTATATTAAATCTCCCTACAATCGATTTTAAAAATATTGAAGCAGTCAAAGAAAACGCTTACAGCTTTTAAAAATAGTTGATTGTCTGAAACATACCATGAAGATTATCAAAGGTGATTACATAAACTTTCAAACGTGTTACCTTGGCAATATAAGTACCAACTGACATGGAACATAGGTCAGCCGCTTTTTGGCAATTCCTTCCAACCACCTCACATTAATATAAATTCTAATAGTTGTATTAACAACACTGGACGTGAAACAATAGCATTAGCAATTAGGTTATTTAAAATTTTACAGAACGATGTTTTTTTTACATAAAGACAATGACATCTGTGACAAGGACACACCTATTTTCATTCTTTATGTTTGTAGAATGCCCTAAATCATCGTGAACTTACAAATTAAGTTGCTTTTTTTTAATTTTGAGATAAATCTAACCATAGAGTGACTTCAACTGTTGAACAATAGTTATTTCATCCTAGTTTGTGATTCACTAGTTTACACTAACAGTCCCATCAGTAGTAGAACTCAAAATTGTCAAGTCAAAAGCCACATATGTCAACTTTCAATCACCAGGTCAGTATTCGAAGGATCATATTGCCAATTTTAAACAACCCGTATTAGGATACAAATATTATTCAGTATTGTCAGTGGTTGATTGTCTCACTTTTAACACAGTTGAGAACCAATTATTTTGACTATACATTTGAGAATTTAACTTGAGGTTAGTCACTAGTGGGCATACAGTTAATGTTTCTAGATTGTTGGCCGTGGAGATTAATAATAAAAAAATAAGTAAGGGCTACTACCGTCAGTACGTTTAAAGAAGTTTATATCATTGATTAAAATCATATAAGAATGCTTGATAAAAGGAGTGTGAACACAATTTGAGTCAGTAGCTATAATATATCATGGAAAAAGCAAAACAATATAGTACCAACGAGGTGGAATACAAGGCTTTTTAAGAAGAGATTAATATTCAACTTTACTGTGTGAGTTAAAATTTTTGGACTCAAAACACATATTGTCAAGACATCTTAAGTGCTCCTGGTTTAAGTGTACTTACACGTGTAGTTAGTTTTCTTCACTCATTGACACTAGAAGAAAAACCAGTTATAACTAAGAAGCATAGTACAGTTGTTTCATCTTAGTCCGGACATTCCTAGTCAAACATACAAAAGAACATAAAATATTTGGATATAGCGATGAGCACAATAATAATAAGTCATTAAATCGGAGTGCAGTGAACAGCAAAAATCCAAATTCAGTCGCTTTTTTGTCATAGCTTAGTGATCACTTAATGTCTTTGAGAATACCTATCTCACCCTTGATTTAGTTGAATTTATCTAGACATAACTTTTTACTAGACCTGAAAAAAACCTATTTTTATACCAAACAATAATGATCATAAAATTACTTTTAAATGTTCATAATTTGTAGTTTATCTCAATTTATTCATTTAAGAAACTAAGCGCATGGATTTGAAGAGATAAATACTAAGTTTACACCTCATGATGAATGTCAACATTGTAATGTAAATACATACAAATAAAGAATAGAATGAAAAATCTACCATATACTTCACTGTTCATGACAATCTAGTAAGTGAACCTTAATCTATCAACTGAATTATTCTTTATAATTTAACTAACTAAGTAACATATTACTGTAGTGTTGGCAACTTTTTTCACGATAGATATAAGTAATCTATTATTCTATTTATGTCATCATATCGCTAAATCTTTAATTTGTCAAAAAATGACACTTAGTTTTAGTTTAAAACATACTTTTTTTTCATTTAAATGTTCAATAAATAATAAAGAATAGTAATATAATACTACAATTATGATGTCATAATAGAAATATTTATTAACAATGTCACAGTTTTCTTCTTTTTTTTCCATTTACACCAAATATCATTACTTAAAAGAAGAAGAAGAAAAAAAAAGAGAAAAACAAACGAAATGACGTCAAGATATTCAGTATTATAGTGTTCAATCTTCTTTCTTTTTTTATTTTTGAAAAAAAAAAACATTTTTTTTCATGATTCATTTAATTGCGTGTAAAAAGAAATTTTTTTATTTTTCAAAGTAACAAGATGAATGATTAGATAGATAGATACATACATAGATACATAGATACAATTATTGATTTCAGTTAAATATTCATATTTTTGGCTATAAAAACACCTTAGTAATTACAAGTTATATTTCATTTAATATTAAATAAAGGCTATAACTGACTATTATGGAGCTAATTATTTATGTACTTTTCAAAGTTATTTATTATACTTTACTGGATAAAATAAAGAAGTTTTATGTTAATGAAAATGTCACATAATAAAGTTTAAACAATATTGATACTCTAATAAATTCATTTTAAACAAACTTGGAAAAAAAGAAGAACGATTTTTTTCTAGCGCATCGAATTGAGTCACATGTTTCATAAAAAAAGAAAAATAAAATACGACAACAACAACAACAACAACATTTAATTGACCATAGTAATAATAAGACAAAAAGAAAATTACCTAAAATTGTATAACGTTAATAAAGAAGTTAACTTTATGAAATAGCAAATATTGGAGAAAAAAAACTTAGGATTATGATGATGATTACGCGCCAACTGTTGATTTAAATGAAACTTTACTAAATAAGATTTTTAAATTGTAGTTATGGGAATGCATGATTTTAACATGTTTGTCCTCTTTTTATTATAATCTCACTAATTTGTGAATGAAAGGTGTAAACGGTAATTTCTCTAGTTATCTTTCTATTATTATATCGTACATTAACAGACATATTTATTCAATTGATAAATAATTGGTTAAATGATTAAATTACTGTATGAAGTGCTACCTTGTTTGTTTTGTTTGTTTTTTATTTAGCCTGAAGGAATAAATAAACCGTGATAAAATGGAATGCAAATGTTTTGATTGTTTATTATAATACAATATAATATAATGTCTTTATCATTATAGAGGTTTGTGGAGATAATTGAATATTATTATTATGACTAACCGACCTAGATTCGAAATACATCGAAAATCAAGGAGAACAGAATATTTATTTCGTTCATGTGGAAAATCTCTCAACGGTATAGATTTATAACCTAATCATAAAAAATCAAACAAAAGACCTTCAGTTTTGAATGTGAATACTTGATCTTTAAATCACTGAGCTGGAATTCATTAGCGTACATGTATAATTTTAAACAATCCACAATATTACGTGACCTTCTCTCATTTTCTATTGTGATTGTTATGACCAAAGGATTTCAAACATGTTGGATGTGAAGCTGCTTTCCATTGAAGACATTGAAAGTTGGTCATTTAGAATCGTGGGTTAATCGAAGTTAGACTTGTAGACTGCTAGATTCCAGATTAGTGGTTTAGAGATTAAGCTCTTGGGTTCAATCTTCGATAAGGA